TTGCTGAAGTCAAAATGGGTGCATAAGCAAATGTGAAGAAAGCTGATGATGCTCGGCTCTTAAAAGATATAGCATCTGGGTCTTAAAGGCTTGAAGTTAAGCGGCCATCTAGCAGGGAAGCAACAAAGCCCACATAGAAGAAGCACACCAGCCTGTGTAATCATGAGGTGTCTATGGGATTGGGTATCAGGCATCAAAGACCCAGAACAAAAAATCATGATGTGAATGAGGGGGAAAGGTAGAGTGGAGACCCAAAGCCCATCTGTGGATAAGTGGACATCCCCTTTCAGAAGGGTCACAAAGAAGAGACGAGCCAGTCAGGGTGCAGTATAGCACCAATGAAACATGCAACTTTCCTCTAGTTCTTTAATGCTTCCCCTGCCCTCACTATCATGACCCCAGTTGTACCTTACAAGTCTGGCTAGATCAGAGCATGTACACTGATATAGATAAGAACTCTGGACACACGGACAGATAACCCCCCAGGAACAGTAATGGGAGTAGCAATACCATGAGGGTAGGGGAGGTGGGAGGAGAAGGGGGAGAAAGAGGGAATCGACCCCAATGATTGATGTATAAGACACCTACCCCCCAGCCCCTGGCAGGGGATGAACAACAGAAATGTGGGTGAAGGGAGACAGTAGATGGTATAAGATATGAAAATAATAATAATTTATCAAGAGTTTACAAAGGTGGTAGGGTGGGGGAGGGAGGGAAAAAAGAGCTGATATCAAGGGCTCAAGTAAGAAGAAAATGTTTGAAAACTGATGATGGCAAAATATGTCCAAATGTACTTGATACAATTTTTGTATGGATTGCTACAAGAGCCCCCAATAAAATGATTTCAGTCCGCTCCCCCCTCCCCCAAACCGATCCTGATACACAAACTGCCTCAGGGCCCTTCCAAACCCATCACTGCCTTCAGACCCTTCCCAAAAATGCCTAAGGACCCTCCCCAACCCATCCAAATAGACCTCTCTGAAATCTAAACAGATAAAGTGAACCCTCGCCACTTTGCGCTTCGACTTCCGCGGCTTCACTCTATCGCGGTTTTTGCGTAACAG